TCTTTCCCTATTTGGATTCCTTTTATGCCTTTTTCCTGTCTTATTGCTCTGGCTAGAACTTCCAGTATTATGTTGAAGAGCAGTGGCGATAGTGGACACACTTGTCTTGTTCCTGATCTCAAAGGAAAGGCTTTCAGCTTTTCTCCTTTGAGGATAATATTGGCTGTGGGTTTATCATATATGGCTTTTATCATGTTGAGGTATGTTCCTTCTATTCCAAGGATTTCAAGGAACTTAAACATAAATGGGTGTTGAACTTTGTCGAAAGCCTTCTCCACATCTATTGATATGATTATGTGGTTTTTATTCTTCGGGACAGAAATATTTTTAAAAAATGGTTTGAATAAATAGTATTGGAAGGATGATCCCTTTCCTCTCTGGCCATTCTAAAAAAACTGTGTTTCATTTGAGAAACCCTTTTACTTGATTCCATATTGCTCTGCCCTTTCATTAAATGATTTACATAACCACCCTGGGAAGATGTCTTTCTGATTTTATGATTGCACCCATCCTAGGAACAGGATTCTGAGCTGAGATGCAGGTGTAAAGATGCAGGTTAAGGAATCTAGCCTGATGCTACATGATTACTTTCTAAATAAACCTCATGTGTATCAAGTTCAAAATACCCTGAGATCTTGGGGATAGAGGCTAGTGGAATTTTTGATCATCTTGAAAACATAAATGATGAAGGGACATGGGTTAATAGGCTTGATACTCCCTTTGTTTAAATCAATCACTAATAACCATTTAAGTCCTCTGTCAGCCACATTCAGTCTTGAGAGTCACTTTGGGGAGTTAAGTATTAATGGAATTTTCATTAGAGTCTCTCTCAGAATTCAGAATTTTCCATTAGAACTGATTTGAAACAATTGTAGTGCAGCATAATCAGGTAGGCAAAGCCTTATAAATTGGTGCTAATTTAGAAAAAAAAGAGCAGTTTGAATGACTGGCCTTTGGGAATAACAAAATATATTTAAAATAATGCAAGTTTATCACTTGCAAGCCAGAACAACTCCTAATCTCTCTCTTTTTTTTTTCTTTCTCCTCTCCACCCTCCCACCTCCCCACCCCAATCTTAGAGTCCAAATTTCAGATCAGAGGAGTCTGGGTGAGTTAGAACACACAAGATCACATTCCCAAAAACAGTCTGGCAGATGTAGGGTTTTGAAATAATCTCTTCCTAAAGGATGTATTATCTCAACACTTAACAGACTGCTGCTAAGTGCTTCCTAATTTCATGCACAAAAGTATGTTTTTTGCAAGGAAAATCTCCCACCAGGGAAAAGAAGCACCTTAATTTGAAACCAAACTAACATGTTGACTTTTGGGGTCTGGGGTTAAATTAAGGTTTAGGAAGAAAGGAGGAGGTGAAGGAAGGGGAGGACAGGAGATGAGGTGAACAGGGAAGCCTGAGTTGTTTTATAAATTTTAATACAATTTTTGTTTTTGTTTTAGAGTTTACCTTTCATGATATTGAGTTTTAATATAAAAGCTAAAGCATTTAAGGAGAAAAAATTTTTTTCATAAGAAAAATTTTAAAATACCTTCTGACAAAATATTTGCTGAATACCAGGTTAAACTTTATTTAGCTTTACAGTAGACTTTATTTTCTAGGTTAGGTTGCTGAAACAAAAGGTATTTGCCAAGCAACTCATCTTAATTATTATGATGAAGATTATAAGTAGGCAAATTAGGCTCACCCTAGGGATGTGAACTGACTGTTGATCATGAGTGTATTGTTGTCAAATATCTACTGAGGGTGGGTTTGTAGAGCATAAAATTAGCTGCTGGATAATCATAATTTACCTACTGACTGTAGGCTGTGCAGAAAGCCAATGTGGATAAATCCAGAACACAGTTGAATCTGAGTAGTCCCAAAGACATTCCCTAATGGGACCCTGAATAGTGAAAGTATTTGTCTGATAAATTGGCAAATGGCCCACAGTGGAGTGAACTATCTTAAATACTGGAGAAAAAAAATTGGAGAAATGGTTATTTCTGGAGATGAGAACATAGATTACCAATCATTTTAAAACAAGAAATGAGAATTTTATTAATTTCTCTTATTTTTATCAATTATCTCCCAGTCTGAAAAAAGAAATGTCACACTCTTCATTAAGCTATCTTTTGGTTTGGGAAAAATGAAGTCAGTCTTTAACATCTCAAAAATGAGTAGGACAGCCAGACATCTGGGTGACCATAGGCCATGGATATTAGGATTTGGTCCTAATTTGCAATTTAATTTTGTGTTGCCTCCTGGTGGAGTCCTGAGGTGGGTGGGGGAGGGTTGAGCACCCAGCTCACTGAGCCCAGGACAATTACCTTGCAGCCTTCACACGTGATGCAGCGGTAGTGATACCCTGTAGCTTTGTCACCACACACTACACATAGCTCGTCCTTGTCTAAGTAACTGGGGATGTAACCTGTGAAGGAGAAGAAAGAGTAATGTGAGAACACAATAGCTTGTTAATGTGAAAGACACCAAATCTAGGAGAAGTGGAAGTGAAGTGAAGGAGGGAGGAAGTAAGACTGAATTGTTTATGATTTTTTTTTTAACAGTACGCGTTGAGGGCCTTCATTTTCTTAGATGCAATTTTAAAAGATTTATGTATTTATGCCTACATACAGAATTGGGGTACAGGCCAGAGGTGCAGGGGTAGTAAGAGAATTTACTAGAGACAGAGTGGGGAGCAGAAAAGGCAGATTGACAAAGTACACAGCTGAGGGGAGCAGTGGGCCACCTCCCTGGCTGAGGATAAAACTCATGCTGCAGTGGCTGTGGAGAGCTTCATAGTTCTGCGCTTTAACCACTTGCAGCACCACAGAGGACCTTGTTATATAAATTTTAACCCAATTTTTGCTTTAGAGTTTACATGTTATAATAGCTTAGTTAAATATTTTAAATAAAATATTTAACGAGAAAAAATTTCAAAGGTCTCTCCTTAATCCTCTGTATCTTGTACTTACTAATATTTAACCCACATTACAGAGTAAATGTGAGGTCCAAAAATTCACACACAAAAATATGTGTGTTCTGCCCAAAGACAGATTGAGTGGACAGGATGTAATATCTATAGCTGTGGAATACCACTCAGGTATAAGACAAAGTGAAATCTTGCCACTTGTGTCACTATGGATGGAGTCAGAGGGCATCATGTTAAACCAAGTAAGTTGTAAGGGGAAAGACACATAATGATGAGTACACTCATTTGTGGAATATAGAGAAACAAACAAAAAGCAATCAACAAAGTTGAACTAAAACACACCCTAGAAATCTGACTGCAGTGTTGAGGCTACAAGAACAGAGTGGGGAGGGAGCCCAGTGAGCTACAGTAGAGGGTCACTGGATCTCTGGTGGTAAGGGTGGGGTGATGACATATACCTGAGGAGGTCTGAGCCTATATCCCTAAGTCACCTACAGTGTTGTAAACCAATGCTCCCTCGATAAAGAATTGTACAACTGAAAATCAATAAATAAAACACTTTTTTTTCCCCCCAGAGAGAGTGAGAGAAGAAATAGGTGTGATCACACTTGCTATGCAGGTAGAAATGGATCAAAGGCTGTTGGACCCAATGACTCATGCTGGGAAGCCAGGATTTTGAACCCCTGAGGGATTTGAATTTTGATATCACAAACTCTTTTCACAATGCTATTTCATAATTTTTTTCCTAGAAGTTTTGATCCATTTTGGAACGATCATGCACTACATCTTTGGAAAGATATCATGCAATACATTTAGGAAACTGTAGCTGGAAAGGTCCCTGGGAGATCATCAAGTATTTTTGTGGTGAAAAACAGGTTTTCAGAGGTTTGGTCCTCCTTATGGTCAAGGTAGAAATTAATAGCAGAGAGATTAAGACCCAATGTCAAAAAGTGGGCATTAACTTTAAGTAGCATGAATAAGGACATCTAAAAAAGATTTGGCAAACTTGGGATACTAGAATATACAACCCCAAACACTATTTAAGTTTAAAATAATTGATTCTCTTTAAAGAAAAATAAATACAATCATAACTGTCTTTATTCATGTACTAGTAGTTCATTAGTTTAAATTCCTTGACTCAAAAAGTTGGTTTACAAGCAAAACCAGAAATAGTCCAGTCCCATGTCTCTTTGCCTCTATTCCTTCATTTTCATCCCAATGTCTACATCCCAAAGCTGATTCAGAAGGACAAATTCAGCTTCATGAGCATCAACTGCTCATCATAGAAACACATAGTTTTAGATAAGACCCAGCAATCACAACATGGCTTGATTTGTTGGGTTGTGAACAAGGGTCTGAGAAAACAAAATCATTACTTTTCCTGATCATGGGCCCTTATGAAAGTTTCTCTTTGCTGTTCTTATAATTTATTTTTTATTTCTAAAACATCCTTGCTTATTATTTTTCACAATTTAGGATTTCTCCCTTCAGGTGCAGTCACCTTGTGAAACTTTTTGACTCAGTAAACTTTTACTGTTTCAATAAAGATTAGCCAGGTTGAGATGACAGATGACACTGTATGTTTTACCATGACATTTTCGAGAGGATCTTTTATTAAACTGGGTCACTGAGGGCTTGCTATCCAGAAAAAGCCATAAAGAAACATAAGAAAATGAATCCAATTTCTTAGAAATAACTTTGCCGAGACTTTATTTTAGAAAAATGTCCCTTCTTGGGAAGTAGATAAATCACTTCAAAGTGAGATTTGGTAATGTACAGGATTATCTTTTTAAATATCACAGCTTTTCTTAGTTGACTTTTACATCATGCAAACCATGAATCATCTGTTGAGTTCACTTCAAAGGTTTCAAATTTCTCATGAGACATTTAAAAAAAGAGAATCTGGGAAGGATCTGAGGAGAAAAAAAGAAGATTAGAATGATTTGTTTGTTCAATCACTCATCTACTTGTGAATTTAGAAAACATTTATTTAGCATCTACTATGTGCTGAGCACCATGTCTGGTGCTGAGAATATAAAAACAAATAAGACATGATCTCTTCCTTTGGGAAGCATATGTGTGAGCAACTGAATTTTGTATTTCCAGTCCTGGTCACTTCTCAGTGGAAAAAAAATTGTGGAAATGAAGGAAAGAACATGAAAAGAAGCTCAACATCACTGTAAGGAAATATAGACGAAGTCCACAATGAGATACCTTCCATCCTCTAGTATGTTATGATAAAAATGAGAGTAACACATGTTAGTGAGGACATGGAGAGATTTGAATCCTTATATTAGTAGTATGAAGGTAAATGTACTTTGGAAACAGTTTGGGAGTTACTCAATAGATTAAACATGAATTTACTTATGACCCAGCAAGTTCACTCTTGGGAATATACACAAGAAAGTCGTTCATATAACTCTCCATATGGCCATACAAAAACTTATACTGGAAAATTCAAAACAGCATAACTCATGATATCTAAAAGGTGGAAATAACCAAAATGTCCATCAGATGATGAATGAGTAAACAAAATGTTGTACACCCATACAATGGAATACTATTCATTAACACTGATGAATCTTGAAAACATACGGAGTAAAAGAAGCAAGACATGAAAGGTAGTATGTTGCATGATTCCGTTTATATGAAATGTCTAGAGTAGGCAAATTCATAGATCCAGAAAGTAGATTAGTGGCTGTTAAGTCCTAGAGATCAGGAGGGGAGGATGTGTAGTGGCTGCCAAAGGGTACAGAATTTCTTTTCAGGGTAATAAAAATGTTTTGGAATTATGTAGCATTGATGATTGCAACTATGTAAAATATAAAACCACTGAATAAAAACTATTGTTTTGCATGCACATTTTTGATGCACTCTAAATATGTGGATTTTATGGTATAGGAAATATGTTTCAATATAGCTATAATTATAAAAAAAAAGAAATGAAGGAGAAAAGATGACACTATGGTAAACATTCATAAGGGAATACTATGCACCAGCAATGTTCTAAGGATCTAAAGGTGACAGCATTTTCATTTTTGGAGAAGCCTTCAGAGTAAGAGAGAGAACAGACAGTAGCAGATTACCTGCCTTTGATGTAATATGCACTGGGATCAGTCTATGTCCAAAATCACCATGAATGTCACGGCAGGAACTCTAAGAAACGTTCCTGCACTCTTCCAACTCCATACCTCCTTAGGCTTCCCTAATAGTAGCCCTTTATTATATGCATTATAACTACTGTGAGCTTTTCTCTAAGTTCATTATCTCTGGCTCACTTTAGGTTTGTGTAGTTAAGGGAGAGGGAAGGATCATGTGGTCTATGTGGAAGTGTTTAGCACCTGCTTCCTCTGAAAGATGGCATCACAGTGTTCAAGATTACTGCTGTAGTTCAATGGTGAAAACACAAGGGCACATAGTTTACCTGAACCCCGTGGAAGAGCTAGAAGGCTGAAGGTGTATCTGAGAAGGGTTAAAGATCTCTACAAGGGTTTCCTAAAGAGGTGATCATATAGATACAGAGACCCAAACTTTTGGCCCAGTGAAACTCAATTAGAAAGTTTGTTTGTTGGTAAAGAAACCAAGATTTCCCTCATCTTGAGGAGACCAAGTCATCCAAATTTAAGTTCATCTAAGGTCTAGTGATGTTAGGAAATGCATGTTCACTAACCAACTAGAATTGGTCCTGCTTTCTTAGACTCTGCCCTAATTACTAGGTTCAATACAGTGAGACAGGACCAAGGAGAACTTAAAGGAGATGCCATTTTCTAACATCATTAGGTCCAAGTCAGTTTGTTAAAATGCCATCATCAGGAGTGGAGATTTAGTATAGTTAATACAACTTGCTCATCTTTCAACACTAGGTTATGTTGCCATTACAGTCGAAGAGTCTTTGTTTGTTGGTTAGGTTTCCCCTTTACACAATCATAGACCCCAAATGCCAATTTTATACCATTATTTGCTAAATAACTTATGGTGATATGGCTCCAATTAATAAGAAATACTAAAAAAACCTTCAGAAAAATTCATTAAGCACTGATTCATCCAAATACAATTTTAGGGACTCTCTCCATAAAAAGAAATAACATACATCTCCAAAGGGCTCTGTGTCCAAAGAACTAACAAATTAGCAAGCTATGTAGAAGATCATAGTAAAAATGGTCAGAAATACTCTGGACTTAAATCAGCATTAACTGAAACTTCAGTCTTTAGGACACAAAAACATTGTGTATTAGTTCTTTATATAATTCAGATTTTTAAAGGAGATAGTCATATAAATTATGCAGTTCATTACAAAACAAATCAATACTATACAGTTGCAAAAATCACAAGTATCTACCACCCTCCATCCACAGAGATGACAAATGAGATCTTCATCTTAGATCAGTATGAGTGTGACTGTATGTGCACTGAAACACATACATTCCTAATAAATGCAAGGTAAGTAAATAAAAGGAAATAATATTTAAAAAACAAAAACAAAAACAAATATCTTCCTG